ATGTATTAACAGTTTTCTGAGTGTTTCTCAAATCGCTGGTTGCCATGCTTTGTCACAGCTATCCTGATGCCACCCCTGAAGACTTGCAAGCCACCGACAATGTGTGCATCATTTGCAGAGAAGAGATGGTGACTGGAGCCAAGAAACTGCCGTGCAACCACATCTTTCACTCAAGGTTCATGTCCACTGATTGACAAATCTCAGTTCCTTTGGTGTTGATATCTCCATGCATATTTCAAATGGTCTTTTCCTCTCATTGTAGTTGCCTTCGCTCATGGTTCCAAAGACAGCAGACATGTCCCACCTGTCGTATGGATGTCCTCCGAGCATCCCAGCCAAACCAGAATCCAGCCCCAGCTCCTGCACAAGCACCTGCCCCTGCTGCTCCTGCTCCCGTACCCGTACCTCCACCTGTCAATGGTAAGACCAGGCCGGTTAATCTGCTGATATTTGGCTGAGATTGCTAATTGAGATTGCATGCCTACACTTCTGTGCAGTTGCTCCAGGTATGATACCTCAGTTTCCTCCGGGGTTGTTTCCATTTTGGGGTCCCTTCCCTGGCGCACCTCCTCCTGCTGCCCCTGGTGCACAGGCAGCTACTGACACGCCACAGACCAGTACCGATGGAGCTCAGGGATCAGGTGAGCACCTGTTCTACCTCCCTGTGGAAATGTAGAATACCCATGATTCTAATAAAAATTCTCACCATCTGTCATGTAGAATCAGGAGCCAGCAGCTCAACTCAGCCGACTGCAGACAGCGCCTCTTCTGCTCCTGGAGCTATCCCTGGATTCCCCTTTTCCATGCCGCCACCTTTCACATCAGCTCCATGGCTGCCGATGCCTCCACCTCCACCTTTTAGTATGTCAGAGTGGTCAAAATGCTTTCTTGTTAGATAACTTCATGTAGAACAAATGCTTTAGAAACCTTCCAGGTCAGATATTTGAGTAAACTGTGATATCTGTTTACTAGTGTCATCCATGCCACCGCCACCATCAACTCTATCCACCATGTCAGAGGCTGAGCTCAGAGAACTGGAGCAGGAGGGCAGGCGAGGTTTGGAAGCCAGGTTGCAGTGCCTTCACAACATCCACACATTGCTGGATGCCGCCATGCTCAACATTCACCACTACCTCAGCACGGTGGCTACATTAAGGTATGCAAGTGTTGCTTAAGGTTTGATAGAGAGTGGCACGTCCAGTTCCTACCTCTGAAATCCCCGTGTGTTTTTTTCTAAACTTCCTGTTTAGTCCGCCAAGATCAGAAACCAACACTGGTGAGACGAGTGCATCAGTGAATATGGAGTCCTCACCCTCCCCGGGCAACACGGAAACCCCCAGTCAGGAGAACGAGGCTCAGAGCGGTGAGTGGAAGAAGGAAAAATAATGCCACAACTTCCTGAATGACTGAGCTAATATTGTATAAAAAGAGTAATATTTGAATTGACACGCCCCCTGATACACAGCATGACTGACAGTGAAATGTTATATATGTGTGTGTATATCCATATATGCACCTCCTACTCTCCTAAACTATTATACTAAAACACTAACATTCTAACACAGATATATTAACTATGTAGCCAATTGGCTGCCAGGCGCCTTGGTCGCATGTTAGTACCAGGGTCATTGTATTCTCTTGTTCCTAGGTGAATCAGTGAATGGAGCTACAGGCTTTTCTCGACCAGACTCAACCACAGAGGACGACAAAGACCGGATGGAGGGAGATGAAGATGACGGCGAGCCGAGCGCTGCCGAGTTGAGACGGCGTCGCCTCCGTAAACTGGAGACCATGCCCACTCCTGACCACTGATGATGTGATGCTTAAATACATGACAGTAGAAACGCTTCTTATGGACTTTTTGGGCACTTTTCATGTTGAGATGTCAGATTATCTGAGGAAAGTTCATGTGTTCTTAGATGTTATCTAAATGAAGCACATCAAGGCACTTCCCAGTGTATGGAGGATTTGTCATTGTCGCGTGTACAGAAGACTCGGTTAGAGAACTGGTTTCTGGGTAACCATGCGTGAAGATTTAAAAAAAAACCTTGCACTTTGAAGGTCAGCCTTGACTATTGAATCGAGTATTGACGAGACTTTCCTCTCTGAATGTGATTTCTGTTTCTCAGAGGATCAACAAGGTCTGTGGATTTCTCATGTGCCCTTAAAATTTGATGTTTTCTCCCTTCTTTGTGTATTTTCATTATTTCTAGCTCTACATAATAGATTTTGTTTTCTTAGATCTACTTTGGTTGTGGGTAAAAGATGACCATGAACCAAATATGAGTAAATTAACTTAATGTACATAATGTATAAAGTGTTTTAATAGGAGGATATGTACATACTGCACAATAAACTGTTCAAAACAGTCTTGTGTATGTCTGGTGTGTTTATGAAGTCTGGGGTCAAAGAAATCAATACTTTTATCTGGCAAGGATGTATTAAATCAATATATAATGTTACAAAAGATTTCTATTTCAAATAGTGATTATCAAATACTCTTAAGCCGCCTTTCCACTGCACACGACAAACGACAGCCGTTGGACCGGAAGTCATTCATTTCCAATGGAGAGTCGTACGGGAGCTGCGGGGAGTTCCGATCATATGCGTATGCGGAAAATTAGTGTCCGATTTGAGTTTTGGATCTGTTGAAATATCTAAACTTCTGCGGCAAGACCGTATGCGACCGGCCGACCGGATGTGATGTATTCTAATCAAAACTATGAGCGTGAGGCTAGAATTACCAATATTTCAACTCTTTAATGTTATTCTGTAAACGATATTTCTGTAAAATGTTGGTTATTAATAATTATGGAAGAAAAAAATATTTTATAATTATTAAATCAATATTTATATTGATTAGCTCTGTAAAATCTATTGTTTTTATTGTAGATGTATTGAGGGTAATTTGTTTTGTGTGGATATACAGGTCCTTCTCAAAAAATTAGCATATCATGAAAAGGGGCTCTAAACGAGCTATTAACCTAATCAACTAATTAACTCTAAACACCTGCAAAAGATTCCTGAGGCTTTTAAAAACTCCCAGCCTGTTTCATTACTCAAAACCGCAATCATGGGTAAGACTGCCGACCTGACTGCTGTCCAGAAGGCCATCATTGACACCCTCAAGCAAGAGGGTAAGACACAGAAAGAAATTTCTGAACAAATAGGCTGTTCCCAGAGTGCTGTATCAAGGCACCTCGTTGGGAAGTCTGTGGGAAGGAAAAAGTGTGGCAAAAAACGCTGCACAACGAGAAGAGGTGACCGGACCCTGAGGAAGATTGTGGAGAAGGACCGATTCCAGACCTTGGGGGACCTGCGGAAGCAGTGGACTGAGTCTGGAGTAGAAACATCCAGAGCCACCGTGCACAGGCGTGTGCAGGAAATGGGCTACAGGTGCCGCATTCCCCAGGTCAAGCCACTTTTGAACCAGAAACAGCGGCAGAAGTGCCTGACCTGGGCTACAGAGAAGCAGCACTGGACTGTTGCTCAGTGGTCCAAAGTACTTTTTTCGGATGAAAGCAAATTTTGCATGTCATTCGGAAATCAAGGTGCCAGAGTCTGGAGGTAGACTGGGGAGAAGGAAATGCCAAAATGCCTGAAGTCCAGTGTCAAGTACCCACAGTCAGTGATGGTGCTTCTCTGTAGCCCAGGTCAGGCGCTTCTGCCGCTGTTTCTGGTTCAAAAGTGGCTTGACCTGGGGAATGCGGCACCTGTAGCCCATTTCCTGCACACGCCTGTGCACGGTGGCTCTGGATGTTGCCTTTGTATGTAATCTACTCGCGCAAATAATTAAATTCACGTTCGGTGTGAACACACCATTAGGTGTGAACGCAGCAGTTACATAATAAAATATTGGTCACAAATGATTGGTCACTTTCTAAATAGTAAAAGTATAGCGCATCTACTAATAATTATATAGTTTTTTTACCGATGCAGATGTTAGAAACGATGCATCGCGATACAAATGCCAACTTGTATCGATGCACACTTATTTAAATCGATGCATTGCATCGTTAGCTTTTATGCCGATGCACCGATGGGAATCGGTGAATCTTACCATCCCTAGTATATAAGCATTCGCCTCGATAGTAGTCGTGTCTCCATTGCGTATTTTTATATTTTGAATATATTCCTCCACTGCATACTGTAACCCCTTGTGCCTCGATCTGGAGGATATCGCTGAGGTATTGCTCCAAAAAAGGTCACTGACACGCACGGGTATACCTCTTCCCGTCATGGCAATCTGTCGCGCTGGTCGTGTTTGACCATTTGTTTGACAGGCGTAGTAACAATAACTAGGGGGCGTGGCTTTTGCGAACGGTCAATTGGATAGACCTACAACAACCAATCAGAGCAACGCAGTAAATGACGTATGTTGAGCTACGCATAGTCAACATAACTCAACTGCACACACGCTGGAAGTAGTAGTAAAATAATGAGTGTTGCTTATTTTACTTGGTCCTCCACAAGTGCCACCAAAGGAGAAACCACAACGACCACAGGGTTTTCATTGCGTCCCATCTTCTTAGCGACCATCGGAGCCAGCTGATAAATTAAACTTTTGCCGAATCCCGTAGGAAGGACGGCAAACACGTCACAAATGGTCAAATGAGTAATAAAGATTCATTTTCTAAAGTCTGAGTGTTAGTCTTTACTGAAATTCCAACAATACATGAACGCACCATAAATATGTAAAAAGCGAGTTAAAAATGAAAATGTTTAAATTAGTTTTTTATTAACGTAAATTGGCAAATATCAGAGCACAAAGTACCAAATTTATTGCTTCCATATGCACCATTTGAAATGGGAGGAAGGTCACCATCCCACACTCACAAATAAAAATAACATCTGTTAATACATTTCAAAGATTCTCTCACGAATGATAAAAAGATAAATGTGGTTATAATCCTTGTAGTAAAATCATTATCTGGTCCCTTTTATCATGAGCATCTAGTCTAATTGTGCTCAGCTTCAAAAAGTCAAGGTGCAATTTCAGAAGTATTAGTGCAAACAAACCTATTGAGCTACTCAACAGGAAGAGGTAATGCTGTGCTATTGCCTGAGAAGGTCAGAGGAAGATCTCTGCAGCTTTGCATAGCGGTCAGGTCTGTGGAGTGGAGTAAAGCGAGTGGTGTTGGTTGATCTGGTCGCTCCTGTTGAAGAGGAGTGGAGTCGTCTCACTCGACCCAAACCAGCTGTTGGTGCAGACACTCGGTTTTGATCACTATATCACAACTTTTAACGTCAAATATCTGAGTTGTAATACTCAAAGCCTGATGAACACATTACCTGCTATGAGGATTGATACTGTGGCTCCAGAGAGAAGCCGTGTCATCATCCATTCCTCGAGGATCATCAAAGAAATATGACTGTGAGGCTTGTGTGTTGCACATGGCTGGGCTGCAGTTCTGAAATAAACAACAAAGCAAACATCTCAATGACGTGACTTTTTTTTGTGCTCAGACTTATTTTATTCAAATATATATATTCTTTTAAATACAGGAAGCCAACATTTAATGCATATATATATATATTAAATTGGCAGATTAGTTTGCTTTTCATTCTTTTTTTTTGTCATTGAACTAAATACAGAAAATGTACACTACTGTTTAAAAGTTTGGGGTCTTGTAAGGTTACTTAATGAAAGAAGTCTCGTATGCACAGCAAGGCTACGTTTATTTGATAACGTAAAAACAGTAATATTGTGAAAGATTATTACAATTAAAAATGACTGTTTTCTATGTGAATATATTTTGTAATGTAATTTATTCCTTTTCTCATTCATTTCCAATGCGGACATTTTTTAATGTGAGAAGTACAAGAGTGACTATTTTTTGCACAATGACGATTTTTTTTTTTTTTTCACAAAGCAAGTGTGTCAACCCCTTTACCAAGTTTCGTACCATTCATTCATACCATGAAGTAAAAAATTCTAAAATAAAAACAAAAAAAACTAGGGCTGGGCAACGATTAATCGTGATCAATCGCATCCAAAATAAAAGTTTGTGTTTACATAATATATGTGTGTGTAGTGTGTATAATTATTTTGTATATATAAATACACACACATGCATGTATATATTTAAGAAAAATGTGTTATTAATATATCAAATATTTATATTTATATATAATATTAATTATGTATAAATATATATAAAGTATATACATGCAAATATTTCTTAAATATATACATGCATGTGTGTGTATTTATATATACAAAATAATTATACACACTACACACACATATATTATGTCAACACAAACTTTTATTTTGGATGCGATTAATCGTGATTAATTGTTGCCCAGCCCTAAAAAAAACATAAATTTTTTCAGTCAAAACTGACCAAAGAGTACCAGAGGGTTACAAAAATAAATAAAGACCTTTTCTTGAGGAGGCTGGCGAACTCTGAAGATGAGAATGAGCAGGCCAGTAGGTAGCAGCTCCCAAATGAAAAGAACTGCTCCAAAGATAATGTAGCCTCTTTCTCCAAGTTCACTCTGAAGGTCAGCCTTTGAGAAGAACACACAACCATCACAAACTGACCAGTGAGAGAAATACCCTTTCATTAGCAACCCACAAAGTGCCCACCTGATCAGAAATGTTGTACCAGTCATAGTCAAAAGCCTCGACTTTATGATTCTGAGACAAAAACAGCACTGCAAGATTGTAGCAAGCCCTGCTAGAGAAGAGCAAGATTACACCGGCCCCCAACACCACAGTCCGGCAAAGCCCCTGCAAACACAACACAGCTGGAAATAATGCTTTTTTTTTACCAAAGTTTGTCTTGTTTATCATGAACAGCAACAGAGATTTATTCTTGATTAGATATTTAGCAGACACTTATCCAAAGAGTACCATAAACTACATCAGAATATTTCAGATTAAACAAGTAAAATAGATTGCGACTACCATTTGAGCTCAAGTCCTTGCAAAGTATGTACCTTACTGCGTAGATAAGGGGGGGTGGTGGTGGGCGAGAATCGAGTTAACAGGAGCAGAGATGTGGCCAGACACACAGCTTCCAGAATGAACAGCAGGTCATTAACCAGAACCCGAAGCAAAACCAGGCTCCAAGCATTTTCACCACCTCCACCAGAACCTCCATGCTCTGCGAGGCTTGCGCAAACTATGTTGACGCACAGGAAGACGGCACTCATGGTGGCATACACACACCGAGCCGCCCGTCTGGAAGTCAAAGTTCACACACAATTCTTGGGAAACTTGTTTCTGCCACGGAATAAATCATAAGGTGATCGCAACTTTTTATCTCACAATTCTGACTTTATAACTTGCAATTGAAAAAAAAAGGGGGGGAAAAACCTCACAATTGTGAGATATAAACTCGCAATTCTGACCTTTTCCTCACAATTCCGAGTTCAGATATAAACTCGGAACTGTGAGATATATAAACTCACAATTGCAAGTTATAAAGTCATAATTACGAGATTTGAACTCTGAATTTTGAGAAATAAAGTCAGAATTGTGAGATTTAACTCGGTATTCCCAGAAAATTTCAGAATTACGAGTCACAAAACTCGCAATTATGAGAAAAACAAATCCAAGTTTATATCTCGCAATTTTGCAATTCTGAGGAAAATAAATCTGAATTGTGAGACAAAAAGTGACAGAAACAAGCTTCCATACAATTCTCATTAAACAAATGATATCCATTAATATTAAGGCAGTAGATTTAACATGTTAATTTAATTAGTTACGAAAAAATAACGTGTAACGAAACGAAAAAATTCTCTTTATTTACATTTACTCACCCTCATGTTGTTTCAAATCTGTATGACTTTTTATTGACCTGTATGATTATTTATGACAAGATATTTTGAAGAATGGCTGTTGTAACCTTAAAGGCTTCTGTGTAAAATGTTGAATATGTCAAATATTTAATTCTAAATCTACTTTAATAACTTTTTGATGTTTTTCTTATTTAACACTTTATCTTTTGGGGGAAATTTCTCAGCTGAATTTGATGTGCAAATTAATTTGCGATTAAATAGATTAATTAATTATCACATCATGTAATTAATTTGATTATTTTATTCACTTGACACAGCACTAACTAATATGCATGCATGTATGTGAACTCACAGTGCTTTGCTGGGCTCAATGTTGAATACACTTCTGACTTTGAGCAACTCCTGTCAAAATGAAACGTTGTTATTAGGGAGTGGATTGATTTCACAAACATCTTACAAATCTTTCTCTATCTAACTTTAACTTGACTTACCTGAGTAAAGTAAAGGTTGAAGAGACTCAGAGTGAAAAACTGCAAGCACACTGGGAAGCAATAAAGGAGCCAGTAGACTGGAGTGGACAGGTGGTTGGCCGCAAGGGCATCGTGGAAATAAAACGAGAAGAGTGTTGTGCGAAGAGCTGCCCAGAACAGGCAAAGAAAAAGAAAAATACTCTGGTAGCTCCATCGCTTATGCCGGTAGATTAACAGCAACCAAAGCTGAATGTATACGACTAAAAAAAGACCCCCATAGAGACAGGCGTAAAGAACCGTGACACCCAGCTGTACTGATGGGGCCACGGCTGGTCTCATGGGGGAAGGTGGAACTGAAGTGTGCATTATGATGATGGATGTGAGAAAAATATTATACAAAACAATGTATATACCAAAGCATCAAAATAAAATAAAACTAAAATGGTATAAAATTTCAGTATAAATCATATTAGCAAAATGGTAAAAAAAAAATTAATTCAGCCGTACTGTCTTTGTCTGAGTATCATTATATGATATTCTGTCACATATGGTGAAGCCAGGATCAAACTACACGACAAGAAAAACACACTTCTTCTGAAAAAAAAAGTCCTTTGTGAGAATTTCCCTTTTCAACCTGTGATCTGCAAAATAAAAGTGAAAGCGTTAAATGTACGTTAACTAAAGTAACACAGCCAAGTTTTACATCAACTCAAAAATTGACACAAGAACACCATTTTCCTCATCGCAAACAAAAGCATCTTTTATCTGACAACAGCCATTACAGTGTGACTGATTGGGAGTTTTGACAGTCGCGAATGACAGCACGACTTTTGTTTATTCGCTAGACCTGTTCGTCTGCACGGTGTACAGCACAAATTTTAATAGTTTTTAACGGTTTAACTCATTCTAACACTGAAACATTCGTATCAAAATTACTTTGTTTAGACTGATACAAAGTGGCTAGCTGTGTGGCTAACGTTGCTAGATAAGGGTTTAAAATCGATTTGCTAGTTCATAGGTCAGTTTTGGCATAAATATGCGACACGCATTCTTTAAAGATCCCCTAAAATATTACAAAAATAAATTCAACAATACCTTACAAAAAATGACCATGTAATCGACGTGACACGTCCAATAAATCCTTTCCCTCATCACTAAAGTCCCTTTCGTGTTTATGCACTGCCTTATCTAACGGACTCATCAATGGCGACATCTAGCGGTACATACTGGTAATGACAAACGTAAACAAACGTGACTTCCTCCTCATGCAAGACCACGCCCACTACGAAGAACGGTAACGAAAACAACGATGCTGTCCTTAAAATTCTTTCTCACCAAACTCTTCAAAGGTACAGAGGAGTTTCAAAAAGGGGGAAAGAGGAACAAAGAGATCCGCCATCTTAATTTTTAGGAAGTATTTTGTATTTAAGCATTATGTAGTGGGGGTGGTTTGTACTAGTGCTAGGCTGGCTTTACAGTGGTAGAGGGCGTGAATTGAAGTCTAGTTTCAGGACTCATGAGTCATGACAAACGCCCGTTGCATTACCGCACTTGGCCTGTAGGGGAGCCCTTAATCAATCAACCATGGTACTACTGTACTGAGAAACGGAGAAACGGCGGTTAGTTCAATTTTGCGCATCAATAACCGTCATGTCAGCTGTCATTCCTTCCTGTCATTATGATTTATACCTGCTTTTCATTACACGAACCGAATAAAGCGAGGAAATCAACAACTTGGTTTAAATAACACTTTTTAAAGTTATATATATATATATATATATATATATATATATATATATATATATATATATATATATATATATATATTGTATTTGATGAACTCATCATTTCATAACATGAACAAGAGTGATGATGTGCGGTCAGTATAGATTCGCAGGCTGTGAGTCAGAGGTGGTTTGTAACGTCTGAACTCATAGCGTGTTTAGTAGGCGAGGTTCTTCTTCCTCACTTTTTCCTCTCACTCTCTCGCTCTCTTTTCTTCACTGTACCGCACTGTGTGAGCTGTAGTTCTGCAGCCACGTCGCAGACCGATACAGCATCTCCTTTACCAAAGTATCCGCCTGGGATCGACTACAAGTTTACCACCTCGTACAGATCGTCATACGTTTTGTTTTTACCGTTTTATTTTTGAAAATAGTTACTCGTTACGGATAAGTTGAGAATAGTTATCGCCTGTGGTCATGGTGAGTAGCTTGCGTGCTAACTAGGGTTTCAAACTTGCTGGCTTGGTGTTTAAAAAGGTTAACTTACAGCTTCTGTTCTTTAGCGTTTAAACAGTTCAGTTTGTCTCACACACCTTCTTCTACTGACCTTGCATAATGTTAGACAAACGTTTTGCTACTTGTTAACCAGTCTTGCATTTAGAGATCAAGGGATGTGGAGTTGATTATTCAGTATTATCTTTCTATTCTATCTGTCTACTCTACAGTCTTTGGATCTTTTAAATAATTTTGCATTTTATACTTGATAATAACATACTGCATGTACCAAATGCATCTACAAACAACAAATTAAATATACATTATTTGTATACACCCTTTATCCTGTCTATATATCTACAGTCTTGCATTTTATAATTGCTAACAACATAAGCATATGTACCAAGTGTAAAGAGTGTATGTATACAAACAACAAATTGCATATGTCAAATGTGTATACACCCATTATGTTATGTTTTTGCATTAAATTATGTTTTTGAACTTATGCTATAGGAACCAGAGGATGTATATTTTAGATCACCAGAACAATTGATAGATGAGGAGGCGAATGAGAAAGCAACATCCGAGAGGAAGGAGGATGGAGAGGAATCCCGTAAAGCAGGGAGACCACCGTTGTCCCGCATCCCTACCTTTCAAAGCTCAATGGGCCGCAAGCGAGTCACCATCCAGAGTGCAGAGTCATCACTGAAGATGGATGGATCCAGCCAGCAGGGCCAAAAAGAGAAAGCTGGTTCTACAGAGGCTGGAAGAGGCAAAATGCCAGTATCTGGGGGGAGAGAAAAAGCACTGCCCATCCCATCGGCTCGTTTACCCACAAGCCTTGCTGATGTTCTCTTTGAAGGTGATATCTCGGATCACACCTCCACTCTTTTAGCTCCGAAAATAGATCAATCCCTTGATCAAACGCCTGAGATTACAAAAGACTCTGATCAGGATGACATGTCACTGCAGCGACCCCCACTCAGGGACATCTATGAGACCAATGATCTCGTCGCAAAGCCTGTTTCTGAATTTGAAACTGCAAGTGCAGAGAACATCTCAGAAGATGAGCAGATGTCGGCACAGGATGATGTTGTAGAGGATCTGAGCTCGGGCTCCTCTGATGATCAACTCGAGGCCTCGGCTCAAGCTTGTGAAGAAACTTTGAGTGAGGAAAAAGGAAGTGTATCCCAATCACTTTGGACAGAAGAAAATCGTGTCACAGAGAACAATGTGAAACAGTGCTTTGTTTCAGATAAGGGTGATGGATCCGCACTTAGTGGTCAGGATGAAACCGCTAAGATGCAGAAACCTTTAGATAGTAAAAAATGCATTGAAGAAACACGACAGGGAACCAAAACTGGCAATACTAGTCCCACAAAACACACCCAGGCCAAAATGTTTACACCCTCAAAGGTGAGGTGAATTATATTACATGCAATATGCAAAATGAATGGTGTTTGCTTGGGCAAGCAGACTATTGTTTTTCCTGTTGAGGAAAGGCATGCTATTACCTTTCTAAGTGAACAGACATAGATTTACCCTGAAGAAGGGAATCACTGCAAATCATTTTCTTGTTTTCCAGTACAACTATCCAAACATTTTTAAATGAACATACATTTACTTAAGAATAAACAAGGCATAATATATTAAGTTTTCTGAATGGTTTATCAAAATAAAATCAGTTTTCTGTTTAAAACAAATGACTGCCAATGGGCTAAGAAAAATAAACTTGTTTTCCCTTAATATTATGCTAGTTTTGAGCCTAAAACAATATATTTTGTCTTGTTTTAGGCACAAACTCACATAATTTTTATACAAAATAAGACTCAATAAAATAAGTAGTTTTGCTCCTCAAGTAAATGTATCTTGTTTTAAAAATGTTGAGGTGTTTTTCTTTTTTACTGGAAAACGTGACAAAAATACTAGGTAAGAAAGAAAAATACTGCGGTGCAAGCCATATCTGCAGACCAGAATGTCTTTCTCGGGATTAATTTGACCTCTTTAATTTGCATACATATACAAATTCGAAGTATCTGAGTCTAGTTGGCTTCAAATATGTGTTTTCCCATCAAAGAAGAACAGAATTTCAACAGAAGAGGATATGTGAAATGAAAAAGCCACAAAACAGCAATTTCATCACTAACAGATATCTGCATATCTTGTTAGATAGATGCTAGCATAAGTAAATAGTATGTCTTTCATTTTATTTTTATATTGTTTTAGCAGACAAAAGGAAGGAGCTTTTTCCTTTTCTGTCTCGTGCCCTCCATTCTCCTTCTTTTGGGTGGATTTGCATCGCATATCTTGCAGTATGGAGTCCCTAAATCCATGTCACACCTGATGTCACAACTGGAGCTTCACTGTCTGGAAAGTTTCTGGATGCCTCAAGAGACGTGCATCTCTGACTGTAGGTGAGGAAACGGATCCTGAAGAATGTCTAACTTTTTTAAATGGCGAGTTTGAGATGTTTAAATGTGTTTCTAAATGTTCTTTATCAGGCTCACTCTTGTTGAGAGTGTCCCAGAGGGCCTCAGCTTCCCTTCAGGCTCACCACACCTGCCAAGCATTTCAGAGACTTGGACTAATCTACTAAACAGAGCAAACAGCTCTGTTCACATTGGTGCTTTCTATTTCACACTCCGAGATTCAGACCTGGGCCTTACGGAGCCCTCGTCTGTGCTGGTATGTTGTGCCGTGGACATTTTACTGTGCATAAGTGAGAATAATGCACTCTACGCTCTAGAACATTTGTTATCGGCATATGATCTAATAAGATGTGGATAATAATAGGATAGTATTGATCCTGATTATATGGGAAGGCAGTTCATTTGTATCTTTTCTATAGGGCAAAAAAGTGTTTAACCAACTGAAGCAGCTGGAACCAAAAGGAGTGAAGTTGAAGATTGCAGTGAACGCCCCTCAGCCATACATTGCAGACACAGACGAACTGGTAGCAACAGGTACAACACCATGTCTGTTGCACACATTGAGAATTGTAAGAGCTTGAATGATTTTGAATGAATGTTATGCAGCCTTTTCCCCTCAGCTTACTTGCTTTGTGCTTTCTCTTTTAGGGGCTGACGTCAGGGGAGTTGACCTGCAGAGCATCACTGGAGGCATTTTGCATACCAAACTGTGGGTTGTGGATAAGAAGCATATATATTTAGGGAGCGCAAACATGGATTGGCGTTCTCTTACCCAGGTGAGTCGAAGGCTGCATCCGGAAGCTGAAAAATGCTATCCTTCGCTGCATACAATATCCCAATTCTGTGTGTTAAGATTCTGTCACAGTAAGAGCTAGTGTGTGAAACTAATTAACAACCTAGGAAACTAACAAAGAACTTAGGCAGGCAAAACAGGAATCAGTTTTGTGAGGTACCTTTGTGAAAAAAACCTGCCTGCAAAGTCATTGCTTGATAGGGCAGCTTTCGGACGCAGCCGATATCTATCAATATCATTATCTTATTGGATGGTAAATGGATCGTATTGGATGTTTCTGTTGACATGCAATGCCCTTGACATAATGTAATTTTTGTTTTGTTTTTATTTTATTCATTATTCAGTGCCGTTTATTAGACTATAATGTCAAAATCAACCCAAATAAACAATCCTATAAAAATGCTTATGCTAAAATATAGTCAATATTTCTACTAGGTGAAAGAGGTTGGAGTGACTGTGGAAGACTGCAGCTGTCTAGCACAGGACGCTTCACGGATATTTGACGTGTACTGGGACATTGGAGCTCAGAAGAATGGATCTCTACCTGCTTTCTGGCCAGGCCGGTTCTCCGCCCTCTCCAGTTCTAAGTACCCATTAGCTGTTAAATTCAACGGTGTCCCTGCACGTGTCTATTTGTCTGTGAGTTGTGTTTCTCTCACAAGTTGACTTTGTTGTTATGTCTGGTTTTCGTTCACCCTATTCATGATATATATTTTTTAATTGCATGTTTTGCAATCATTTTATTCAACGCGTTCACAATTCCACTCATTCTCTGACTCTTTTGTGTTTGCTGGTTTTCATTTATTCTATATGAGTTTTTTTTTTTTATGCATTGTGTAGAAAGGTTGGCTTTTTGTCATATTGTCACCTTTTTCACTTCTGAAAAAATTTAGCTTTTTAATGAACACATTGCATGGACTGTATGTATGTCCTGTATCATTAATTTTCATTTGTTTCTAAACATGATATGCATTTTTTTGTGTGAGCAGAAATGTTTGAAATTTTTACATGGCAATTTTTGACTTGTTCTTTTAGAGTTCCCCTCCTCCTTTATCACCATATGGCCGTTCTGATGACCTCTCAAGCATCCTGTCAGTGATTGCTGATGCTGAGCGCTTCATTTATGTGTCTGTGATGGACTACCTTCCCATGTCCCAGTTCACGGAGCCCATTCGGTAATCTTTACCATTTTATATTGAGTAAAACTAAAAACATAAAAATTGAAATAAACTTTAACTGAAATGAAATAAAATAAAATATTAAAGTGCCCTCATTATGCTATTTTAAAGGTTGCTAATTTAGTTTTGGAGTTCCTCAATAGGTTTACATGCATCCAAGGTCAAAAAACACTTTAATTTTTTTAACGTCCAATGACGTTTGAGCAAGACTGGTTTAATAAGACTGGAATTACTATTGACCATCAGTCAGTTCAGAATTGGTTCTTTCTTTTGGGAGACAATAACAACATTTATTAGGCACTTTGATCTTTGAAACACACCTTTTACATTCACAAACAGTTATATTACACAATACATGAAAGTTAATATCCAATAAAAGCATAATAGAGGCGCTCTAACAGCTAGTAGCCAAAGCGACATTTCTCATTTCAATATACTAAAATAACTAAAACTAAAACTGAAATAAAAATTTATAAAAAGTATAGATATTCTTTTTTTAATCAATAGCTAATAAAAATGACAAAAACACAAAATTACTGATAATTTATTTAAAATGAAACTTGAATATAAACTCATTCAAAATATATATATAAAAAAAATACTATCTCAAAACTAAAATAACATTAGTGGGAAAAATAATTCCATTAACTGAAGTAAGTTAATCATTTGTAATGTATGTGGTGTTTAATAGCTTAGTTTGACTAGTTGAAATATTGGTTTCCATGATTTTTAGGTTTTGGCCTGTCATCGACTCGGCCCTTCGTGAGGCTGCTTGTACCAGAGGTGTTGAAGTGAAGCTGTTGGTCAGTTGCTGGAGTCACTCTCCTGGTGCCATGTTTGTCTTTCTTCAGTCTCTGTCAGTCCTCAACAAGCCCCCTCTGAGCTGCAACATTCATACTGTACGTTTCTCTGCTCTTTATATTTAAAATAAATAAATAAATAAAATGTTAATCGAGGCATCACATTTACATTTACATTTATTCATTTAGCTGACGCTTTTATCCAAAGCGACTTACAATTGCTTTATGTCAGAGGTCGCACGCCTCTGGAGCAACTAGGGGTTAAGTGTCTTGCTCAGGGACACATTGGTGTCTCACAGTGGATTCGAACCCGGGTCTCTCACACCAAAGGCATGTGTCTTATCCACTGCGCCATCACCACCCGCATCACTGGTGATTTTAATTTTAATGCCTATAAACCTTTTATATACAGAAAGTTTTCGAGGTGCCCTCAACACGAGAGCAGCAGAGGATTCCGTTTGCACGTGTCAACCATGCCAAGTACATGGTGACTGATCGAGTTGTTTACATTGGTATGTTAGCTGTCTACATGCACAATTTCACACTTGCATGCTTTTCCATATTGCTGCAATCTGACGGCAGGTTTCATAATAAAAACCTGCCAACAGAAACAGTCCATGTTTACATTTTGAAGCACTGTGAATATGAGTGGTGCAATAAAGTCAATGTCATACTTATAATCCTGCTACAATGATCGATTGTTATATTGTGTTTTACAGGAACTTCCAACTGGTCTGAGAATTACTTCACCCAGACGGCAGGGGTTGGGCTTGTTGTGAATCAGACAGGTTCTGCAGTGGGGCAGGGCCAGCATACTGTTCAGAGCCAGTTGCAGAAGATTTTCCAGAGGGATTGGCATTCAGAATATGCCCAACCCATCACTGACGTTCACGCAGAACATTGTAGCGGAAAAAAGCTTACATAATGTATCATGCTCTTTATTTGTTATGTTGCTAAGCATTATGATTCAAAAAACCAAAACATCAAAAACCAAAAACTCTTCCCTGCGGCATTCCTGCCTACTGATAACTTATTTATGTTTTATGTATTTGCCAAAAGGATGCTGTGCATTTTTAATGTTTGTTATAAATATGACATTAATTCTCTTTTTTTTTTCTCCATCAAGTGCATTTATTGTATATTTGCATTATGTGACATTTGCCAGAATAAGGACAAGGTCCTTGAGCAAGCACTGATCTATGATGTTGAACTGGTTAAACATGCATGTCAATAAAATGTTGTAATAGGTGCCTTGGCTGTAAAGTTTGTTTTCAAAATAAAACTACTTTTCAGTAAGAAAATGCTTGTGCTCTGTTGTTCCTGAAATTACATTTAGCTTATTTAGGTCTTTAGTTTAAATATTTTTTTAAAGTTTACTTATATAGTACATCGTTTAATGCATCAACATTTACCTAAAACAAACAAAAAAGACAGATGTCTGCCACTTAACAGACAGGCTGAAACTCAGCTCTACAGCTAATTTTAGACATTTTCTTTAAAAAGAAAAGTGACGCCAACACATAAAATAATTTAAAATGTGTCTTATATATGTGCAATTGTGCATGTTAATTGATAAACGGCAAATTTACAACAAATTGTAACTTAAAATAAAACAAAACAATCTTGTAAATGTTGCTGCTGTGTCTCAAAACCTAGTGAGCCCCCTACCTAGACTTCGCTTTTAAGATTAAGAATGCTAGTTCCCATGATGCCCAAATATGCTGTCTAAGTAGGCAGCTCACTAGGCTTTGAAACACAGCCTGCGTCTTCTCTGCGCAGGAAGTGAAGGCGCGGAGGAAGGAAGACGCTAAAAATGGCACAAGAAAGAAGCCCAGCTTTGTGGCTTCACACTCAACCAAGTGTAACTCGTAAAATGCCGGTGTGTCACAGAATACTCTTACTTTTATGGCTACTCCACTTTTCTTCCGTATATTCAGATATAACGGACGGGAATGCGGAGCACTTAAAGCGGGAGCACTCGCTCATTAAGCCATATCAGGGTGAGTAGCCGCTGCCTGCTAGTGTTGTGGTTTGTTCTTGACGTCATTTAGCCTCATCATCACTAACGTGCTTTAAGTTTTCTGTTCACTACGTTGAGTAGGATTTCACCTTTTATTTTGTAATGTCATAGATCATGTATTTTATTGGTAGCATGTACCACAGGGAAATAAGTTAAGTAGTCTACAGTAGAGTATTTAAAGGAACACAACTTAGTGTAAACAAAACTAGTCAGCGCCTTTATTTGAACAGGTGAGGGTAGTTTGCATTGCCTTCACACGCAGAGCATGCAAATTATCAATCACTATTTTAATTGTGGGAAAAAAGTAGCATTATTCTTGCATGGCACATTTACTCTTTTGTACATGCAAACATGCGTAAATATATCCAAATATTTAGAAAGTAGCAGAAAGCAGTTTTGTTATTTATACACTATATAAATATACACATATTTACACCTCAAGTTTGTGCTAAACTTGATGATCATGTTCTCCAAAATGGCAGAAATCTGCAGTTAAAACTACTGTGGTGTTGTTTTCAGTAGTGGAGGAGGATGCCTGTATAACCTAACCATATGTTTTATTAAGTAACATAATGTTAATATACCGATCTACTTGAACTACCATAAAACTACCAAAATCTGCTTTGTACCTTAAAATGTGCTGACCTCATTATAAATGAGCCAGCATTATAATACAAGTTTTAAATTAAGTGGCCTGTTCATAAAACATGGTCAATACTTGTATGTAGATGGTGCACAAAGTCGTAAACAAAACACCATCATACCGAGTAACATACATGAGAATAAAATAATGTATGAACATTAATTAAAACAAAAATTGTAACACAAAACCCCCTAATTTTACATTTCTAAAAACAAAGTCATAAGTAAAATATAATCATATGTGATGTCACGTGGGCTTCTGGTAATGTCCTTTTACTGTTTTTCACTGTAAATGATATTGTTATTAATATTTTTTATTTGACAGAGTATTTCACAGTAAAATCTAATGTTAAAGCATTTACAAAAGTTCACTGTATGTGGTAACTTGGAGTACTGCAGCATTTTTATTTTTTTTTCTGTAAAAATGTCAAACAAATGTTTACAGTGTGTAAATTTACAATTCAATATTTTCATTGTGGTCTCCGGCTTTTGAACCCCAGTGTATGTGATGTCTAGTTCATGTTTATCTCATAATGTTCTCATGGTTTGTAGTGTGTGTACAAGCTTACCATTACAATCATGAGAAGCTTGTGACTGACATCCAAGACACTGTGAATAAATTATGATTATTAATTTATCTGACGATCAGGTGTTGGAACGAGTCCCTCAAGTCAGTGGGACTTTTGGGGAAGTACTTTAGTAACCAGCCAGTATGTGCGTCTAACTCCGGATGAGAGGAGCAAACAAGGGTCTATCTGGAATACAGTGGTGAGTAAAACTTCCTTGAACTAAAAACACAAACTTTTTTTTGTCAGCCGAACCCTTTAGATGTAAACTATTTATTGAAGTACCCCTTGAGATTTTAATACGTCAACATTTTTTTTATATGCAAGTATCCTTGTGAAACATAGTCGGTTATGTCATGTGAATGTAAACGGTTGAAAAGAAAATGTGTGTAACAGTAAGTTGGATACGTGTAGCTCTTAAAGTGACAACAGCCTGATAAACCTACTGCTATCCTCAATGCTAATCTAACAACAAAAGATAGAGAAAATCACTAAATGCTCTTGACTGATTAAGCCCTGCTGGAGCGGCTCTAAATATTCACTGTGCTATTAAATTAAAGATAAAATATGATAGAGCAATAATATAAACAGTGAAAGTAACAGTAGCTCCTACAATACATTTGAACAGGCATATATCAATTGCAATTTTTAAGTAAATATTAATTTACTAAGCCACATAATTTGATTCATTTTCTTGCCAGTTTCTCTGCCCAATATTAAAAAAAAAAAAAAAAAATTAAATGAGAAATTAGAAAATGAAACTGGCATCGGTACTCTGCATCGTCAAGTGCTAAAAATAATATAATAAAAAAATATTTGATATAATAAAATAATAATGTCCATTGTATGTTGTCAAATGCATCTCACACTTGCTTTCAAACCAAGTACCTTCCTGTTGATCAACTCTCAATTCATATATCCAACTTGAATGCAAAATCTGAGTGGGGAAATCTTTCGCCCTCGTGCGATTCCTATTTAAACGAATTGTATTTGATTGTGAAAATTCCCTAAAATACCGCATCTTATCAAATGCAAAACAAAGCTATACGAGTAATGTTAATTGTTTTGCCTTTTGTAGCCATGCTATTTGAAGGATTGGGAGATGCATGTGCAGTTTAAAGTTCATGGATCAGGAAAGAAGAATCTCCATGGAGATGGCTTTGCCATTTGGTACACGAAGGAGAGACTACATCCTGGTAAGTTTGAAAGCTGTGATCCTGTGAAGGAAAATTGCAAGTTCAGGTCCTGTTTTAAGCACTTTCTCTGACCATTTCCATTGCGCACTTCATGATTTTAACTGTAATGAGTTATGATGCTGTGTGTGTGTGTGTGTGTGTAGTCCATCTGTGATCCATTTGCTAGTCTGCTCTTTCTTCCCTGCAGTTGATTGTGTCATACTTTCATTTAGGCCCAGTCTTTGGAAACCAAGACCATTTTGTAGGCCTGGCTATTTTTGTGGATACCTTCCGTAATGATCTCCAAGGAATGGATGTAAGTGAGCCGTACTCATGGGTCCTTCTTTCTCTACAGGCACCGTGTTTGGAAGTAGTGGCAATTTCCATGGGTTGGCCATTTTTATAGACACATACCCTAACGATGAGGCTCCGGATGTGAGTTGAGAGATGTAAAATGTTTGTGTTTTTGTACCTTCATTTGAATGAAAGCTTTGCTTTTCCATGATCAGAAATTGACTTGAGACTAAAATGCAAAGATATTTATATACCTAATATGTTTTGAAGCGTTAAGAATACTGGACTTCTGGCATGTTTGGTCTGCTTCTGGCTTTTGTCCTCATCTGTAAACTGAACTTTAAGGGATAGTTTGAATACGATTATGTGCCAGGTATTTGCTTTCAGATGTTGAACTGAGAGAAACAATCCTTCGAGTAGAAAATAATAACTTTTATTTGGACTATCCCTTCACTCTCTTTTGATTTGCTTTGTTCCGAAATGATCTTTCAACATTTTTTCAAGTAAGCAATGCTTTCTTTGTTTTGCCTGCATCATGTGGTCCGTGTCATTTTCTTACCCGCCGCATCATTAATTATTTTTTGATGTAGCATTTGGTAAAAAATATTCAGTGTTTATTATTTTGATTTTAGTAGTTTACAGTGACCTTTTATAAATTTAGATAATTCTGTTTGATTCAGGAACAGCTGTATAAAGGTACAAAGTACCATCATTTGGTAACTTTCAGTGTATTTTTGTGTCGTCAATATAGAAAAAAAATCAATGAAATACATTTTATTCATATTCATTTTGGTCCTCTAGCGCTCTTTTCCCTACATTTCTGCAATGGTGAGTAACGGCTCCTTGCCGTATGATCACGGGAAAGACGGCCGGTCTACTGAATTGGGAGGATGCTCTGTTGAAGTCAGAAACAAAGATCATGACACATACCTGGCTGTTAGATACTCCAAAGGCAGACTCACGGTAAGAGCTCAATCATTGTAAATGGTAATAATCAGGATGGTAAAAAAAACCCAGTAATATTGTGAAATATTATTACAAGAACTGTTTTCTTTTTAATATATTATAAAATGTAACTTATTCCTGTGAATGTTCAGCTTCATTACTCAAGTCGTCAGTGTCACATGATCCTTTAGAAAACATTCTAATATGCTGATTTGCTGCTCAAGAAACATATTTTTATTATTGTCAGTGTTGAAAACAGTTGTGCTGCTTAATATTTTTTTCAGGATTCTTTGATTATTAGAAAGTTGGAAAGAACAGCATTCATTTGAAATATACATATTTTGTTATATTTACATTATAAATGTCTTTACTGTCACTTTTGATCAATTGAATGCATCCCTGCTGAATAAAAGTATTGATTTCTTTAAAAAATAAAAACTTACTGACCCTTAACTTTGACCCCTTATTTACTTTTGAACAGTAAGGCACGTTCACACCAAGGACGATAACTATAGTGATAATGATTTTTTCCAGCTGATGAGCGAAAAAAACATTGACAGCCAATCAGAATCCATCATTTCATTCATCAATCAATTCATTTACACGACAAGGGCGTTTTTGGGGCCTGAAAACGCTAACTTTTGAAAACGGGTTTCAAATTGCAAGTTTTTGAAAATGATACCGTAATCGTCTCCATGTAAACTACAAAAATGTGTAAAAACGGTGACGTCATGTGCATGTGTATTACCTGTTCGGTCTATAGGTGCGTAGTGTTTCTTTACAAAGGGACATCGTCAAATACTGGCCTGGATTTTGCATACTACAGTGTTTTTAGTCGTTTTCATGGATCCGTGAACGAGGATCGTTTTGGCAATGTTGTCAAAATGTTGATTTTTTTTATTTTTTATTTTTAGTACATCATTGACACGTAAACATACCCTAAAACGGCAGATGATATAACTGCAGTGCCCGCTTATAATAAACAAAACTATGTATTGACGCTATTATAGTTATCTTTCTAGTTATTGCTCTTGGTGTGAATGGGTCTGTAGTGTATATTGTTTTATACTGGCATTTTAATTTTGACACTGAAAAAATCATGACCATTTTTTTCATGACTTTCGTTTTCCTTTCCCTGAACCTGAAGAATTCATTTAGATTTGCATGCTTTAAAGAAACATGTGAAATGAGCAACCACTCAATGGAGAAGATGTTTTGAGTTCCTTATGATAAGTCCTTTATTATATTGAATATGTATAGAGGTTTTTCACAGCTAATGTATATGATGTTTTCACAGATTATGGTAGATGTGGATGACAGGAACGATTGGAGAGAATGTATTGATATTGGGGGCGTCCGCCTCCCTACAGGATACTATTTTGGGTCTTCTGCGGCCACAGGAGATCTCTCTGGTAAGGGTTAGTTATAAATCTCCACAGTAGTCCTGATGTCTTTTTTCCAGACCTCACTGGCACGGTTTCTTCTGTGCAGATAACCATGACATCATCTCTATGAAGATGTACCAGCTGATGGTAGAACATACTCCTGAGGAAGACAACCAGGACTGGACGAAGATCGAGCCTAGTGTCAGTCTCCTCAAGTCGCCAAAAGGTAACAACGCTGATGTGTAGTTGGAGACATATTCAAATTGTTGGCAGAAGGATTTTTCATTCAACTGCTTGTCATGTTTACATGTCTTCTCCCACAAAACAGACAATATTGATGATCCAACGGGAAATTTTCGGAGCTCACCCCTCACTGGCTGGAAGGTCTTCCTACTACTTCTGTGTGCCCTGCTGGGAATTGTGGTTTGTGCAGTTGTTGGTGCTGTGGTCTTTCAGAAGCGTCAGGAGAGGAACAAGAGGTTTTACTAAACATCTGGATTTTAAAGAACTCTCTAGATTGTTGGTGAAAAACATTAATGTGAATTTCGAACAGCTGTACAAATGTTGATATTGTTGAAGTGCTTGATTGGAAGGAGTAGGATTGGTGGCTTCAAAGAAACCTTTCTTTATGTTTGAGTCTGCTTACATATAGTAGATTACACATTTTCAATGTGTTCAACAGTAGTACATCTTTATTTCTGTGTTTACACTACGTCTCTAAATTCTTCTTGGTTTCATTTTTTTATAATTGTTTTTAACCCTTAATCTGTTTCATCTACACATTGTTTTGTTCTGATCTGGAGTGTTAATAATGCTGTGTACAACCTGTATGATTTACTTAGGGTTTTAATGGACTGCAAAAGAAATCAAACTAATGAAAATGTTCTCTTAAATTGATCAAATCAATGTAAATATTAGTAGCTTATTTTCTAAAGTTACTACCCTGGTCCCTTCTCTCTGCAGTATATTGTTTCAGCCTTGTTTTTTAACCAATATTGAAACAAATAAAAGAAGAAAACGAATTGTCTTTTTTTTTTCTGCAGGGTAACAAGAATTCAGCCTTGTGAGTTTTTGTTTCTAACATCCTTTTTGCAATTTTTTGCGCATATGAGAGAAGTGATTGCAATGCACTGATTCACAACAGTTTATGAAAGAAGTTCCCAAAGGTTTTCTGTTGGAGAGCAAATGGGCAGTGACTGTAAAATTATGCTTTTGGTGAGAAAATAAAGCAGTTAACAGTTGACTTGCTAAACATGTGTTTTTTCTTTTTTGTATTAGTTTAGCCATGTGTTGTAGCCTACTACTATATATTCATCATAAACCACTCAAAATTAATTCCAGGACTGAAATGATTATTTGTCCTGACAAATATTTTAGTATAATAAAAAATGTCACAAACAATGATTTTGTACAACAACTCCGGATCGATTCAAATTCGTATCGTTTTGTCGCTGTGTCAACAGTTGAATCCCTTGAAGGAAGCTCTGACACATCTGACAAAAACGTTGATTTACTGCAAATATGAGTATTTCATTCGGTGAATCTTCTAGTAGTTTAACTACAACCTTCTTGTGACGTCAAAAACATTGCAGGAATCTAGTGGTGTTAAAGTACACGCAAAAACACTTGAACTGTGAAAATTAGATGAAATCAGCGTATTAATCATTGGACACATCTTTGCAGTATAACAAAATTATATATATTATATACTTCCATTATCACACTACTTTTTCATTACATGTTGTCCAAGAACACATTCATATGCAAATTAGATACAACATTATATATATAGTCTTCATAGAAAGTATGGTTAAAAATAACCTGGAACCAACAAACAGATGTATAGAGCGTTATCTTACAAAGTAACAACCATCCTGAATGTTATTTTATGAAGCTGATATAGTAATTTTATCTTTTTACTTCAAAATAACGTTTTATCCACAAACCCCTCATTAACAAATAGCCAGAATATATATATATATATATATATATTCAACTCAATACAGTGCCATAAAGATCACTATTTTCCAGAGAGACAAAATATGATAATTTAACCTCAAAACTTTTTTCCCGCCACGCCACCTGCTGGCCATTTAACTAAACAAATCCTTTTGAAAGATTCGGTTCACTGAGTTGAATGAAAAGTCCCACCACTAAACTACAATGACCATGAACAATCTCGGGATTGCACTTTCCGCTTGTGATTGGACGATGGCCGACGATGGGTTACGTGGCATTGGAGTCTCTGCGCAGGCGCAGTGTACTTATCACCGGTAGTGTCAAGATGGTGGCAATCAGAATGCAGTTTACACTTTATTTGGTGTTGTTGTTAAATATTTACAACAGTTTTGTGTCTGCGTTGTACTTTCATATCGGCGAGACTGAAAAGAAATGCTTCATAGAAGAAATACCAGACGAAACCATGATAATAGGTAAGTAAGAGAAGCAGAATAAGCCAAATTTGCAGTGCACGTTAATGCTTAGCCTAGTGCTAACTAGCAGGTTTGTCAGGTAGAGTTCATTCGTTTGGCAACCAGTTTGACTTTAATGAACAAAAAAGAAGTTACAAAACATAATTTATACGAATTAAAATATAAGTAGATATCTACTGGCTTACTGGTTTGGTAAGCAACATGAGCTTATACGCTTTTTTTAAACATTGTAACTTAGCTCTTAGGTAACGCCATAGTGATCCATCCTGCTGCCACTTTGACTCAAGTTTGACGAGGATGTAAATTATGAGATAAGAATCTGATTTTGAAATATCATGAATGCCCAAGTGACATTCTATATTGCAATATCAAGTGAATATGATGTAACAACTCCATCTAACTCTAAGATAATAACGACTTGTGTTTAGTGTATTTCTTACAGTTCTAATCTGTTTAGGTGCTGAACAAAGTAGTTTGTGTTTATGACTTTGCTCTCTTTCCTTACAAGTGTGTAATTCTGTTTTAAACAGGTAACTACCGAACGCAGCTCTATGACAAGCAGAAAGAAGAGTATTTGCCTGCAACTCAAGGACTTGGGATGTTCGTGGAAGTGAAAGATCCTGATGAGAAGGTCTGTTTGGTTAAAGATTTGTGAATAATAAAAGCCCAGTTTGTTTGTTTTTCATCATGCTCAGTCATTTGCTTATCTTTTCTGGGTTTCAGGTGATCCTGTCCCGCCAGTATGGATCTGAGGGCAGGTTTATTTTCACCTCCCACACACCTGGAGAGCATCAAATCTGCTTGCACTCAAATTCTTCCAAATTTGCTCTGTTTGCTGGTGGGATGCTTGTGAGTTAATTTTGTGCATCACATCTTCTGGTTTCCTTAAAGTCGCCATAAAATTAAAATTGACAGACAATTCATACATTTTTTTAAATGGAATATTGCAGTATTTATTATAAATGAGTTATCTGTGCACATCATTATTTTTAAATTAATGTGCCCTCGTAATCGTTAATCAAAACAACTTCCCCCTCCCTATTGCAACCACATCTCATCTCTTCTCTGATGACGTGTTTACTGGCGCTGCTGTCATTCACATGAGATCACAGCAACAGCAAACCACAGCCATCCATACAATTCCCAATGGACAAAATCAAGTCCCGCCCTACAATTTTCTTGTTTGGGAAGCCGTTTCATTCAGATGTCACATTGCAGAAGAAAAGTCTATCGTGACCTGTTTCATGCCAAATTTAAAGTATTTTGCTTCAAGTTTCTTCCAGATAAATTGACAAAACATTATTGCAAGTAAGGATGTGTCAATCTATTAATTACAAAAAAGATATTTTAATATTTTGTCAAATCACAATGTGTGTATATATATATATATATAAATAAATTTGTTTATGTATCTTATTTAAAAAATATATAGATAAAATATATATATATATATATATATATATATATATATATATATATATATATATATATATATAAATTTGTTTATGTATCTTATTTAAAAAATATATAGATAAAATATAGATATTTATATATATTTCGTAAAGTGTAGAGCACCATCTGTTATTTATCTACCTATTTTTGCCTACTTTTCCTTTTGAATTTTCAATACAGCGTGTTCACTTGGACATCCAAGTTGGTGAGCATACAAACAACTATGCAGAAATTGCTGCCAAAGACAAGCTCACGGAGCTGCAGCTGAGAGTTCGACAGCTGATGGAGCAGGTGGATCAGATCCAGAAAGAGCAGAACTATCAGAGGGTAAGTGTCCTGCAGGTTTGGCAACTGAGATCTGGCTCATTCAGATCCACCGCAACCAAATTATTCAAGGCATTCTTCCACCGATGCAGATAGAACATGTTAGTGAAACATGCAATACATGCATAAGCACCACTTTTGCCATTGCCATCTGCGCTCAAGAATGATCCTTACATGAATCTTTTTTTACTTTCAGTATCGTGAGGAACGCTTCAGACAAACCAGCGAGAGCACCAATCAGAGGGTTCTGTGGTGGTCTATCGTCCAGACGCTGATCCTGGTGGCCATTGGTTTTTGGCAAATGAGACATCTCAAGAGCTTCTTTGAGGCTAAGAAATTAGTATAGAACTGTATTTGGATTTTTTTTTTTTTTTTTTATTCTTGATAGAATACACACAATTTTGAAGATCGCCTGCTTCATATGTGGTCAAGACTGCTGAACACTCGACATGCTCTCAGTTCAGTTCCCACCCTAAATTCCCCTGGTTTATACTGCATTGATTCGTTTTACATTGCTCGTTTCAGTGCCACACCCCAAGTAATGTGAATCTAGTTTCTGTTCAGAAATGCGTTACAGTTTGTTCTAAACTGTTTTGAGGTGATAGGCTCTCAAATACTGGATTCAAAACACCAATTGCATAGTGGTTGCCTTACAATTTTTTTTATAGCCCCTTAAGTTGTTAACAGTAGGATTTGTTTCAGAAAGCCGATGAAGAAATTATCTTGGCTGTGAGTTTGATGTTTTCCTAAATGTCCTTGGATTATTTGTGTAAACATTTACAAGACAAAAATAACTGCGTTTATCCTGGTGGCAGGTGTAAACTTCTTCTGTTTGGTTATGCAGTAATTAGTATGATATTTAAAGTTTTGTTCGGAGTGAATGTTTCTTGTTTTATTTTTGTTCTTTATACAATTGGTTCATGTTTTCTCCCCATTTTATTTTTGTTAACCATCATTGTGATCTGGATCATGTTAGTATTAGCGTTCTTTCCTTTTGATAGCTACACTTTGACAGTGACCTCAATGATTTTGCATAAAAGTGTACATGTGTTTAAAGTGTATATATCTAAATAAATGGCAAAATGTAGTTATCAAAAGGTAAAATGTTTAATTGTGAGTACTTGGCACATTGAAAGTAATGATATCAAAAAGTTATTGTTTTAATTTATCATGAATACCTAAATCCCCATTGTCTATTAATCTGACTGAAGTTTTGACAGATTTTAATCGAATGAGATTTCCTCACATCCCTGTGAAATCCGTAATGCCATCTTGCACATACATTGTCATTTTTCTATTTCACATCTTTATTTTCCTGTTGTCACTTGCTCAGGTTGATGTAGAGATTTCACAGATTATTTGCCCCTCAAAGTGATCTGGCCAGAATATGCTGTAAACATCTAAAAAAGATATGTGTTTGCTTTTTTTAGTTACCATAGCTGGTGTCATTGTATTTTCTTTAAAAAAAAAAAAAAAGCTTGCTTTTTGAGTGTTTTGTTACACCGATTATTGCTCACTGAATTGCTTTGCCATCTCATTGTATTTTTTTTATTTTTTATTTTTTTTTTATTTGGGCCTTTTAGTTTATAAGCAGCCACAGGGAAGTGGGGTTACCTTTTTAAGTGGGGATAGGGGAGGGAAAAGTTTGCTGGTGAGAAATCAACCCATAATTGCACTCAGAAATAAAGTTTCCCGCTCCCCCAACATTGGCTCAGTTTTAATGTCCACGTCACAGCTGTTTGGGTAAGATTATGTTGAGGAATTAATTTACTAGTGGAGTGTTTTACTACTACTACACAGCTTGGTCAGATTGGCCATGATAACACTGTTGTGTTGACAGACATTCATACAGTACATTTTAAACATTTACACTTAGGCGTCCTATTCGGTAAAAGTAAAAAGTAGTTTGTGCCTGCCATACAGCTTTAATAGGTTGTGTAATATAAGGGGATGACAGTGACCATGCGATAGCTTAAAATAATTACTGATATTTTTAACCGGTTCATTAAAACCAACTGTTCAAAAGAACCGATTCGCGGAAAAGATTCGAACTTCACATCACAATTGCTTTTGAGTGTAATCATATTTGTTTATTATTACATGACACATTGCACTCAGATTTCCACTATCTATTGGTGACCTTCGCTATGTGCATATAACTGTAAAAAAAAAAATCGCAATATGTATCATGTCTAAAACTAATGTAGCTACCTGTCAGGTCAGAAAATCCTAGGAACTTTATTCCGTACACTGTTTCCAGAGGAATATTTTAAAGACGGACGATTCCAGCCAGCGTGTAATTTTTTTTCTTTTGTCACCGTTCTCAGTTAAGTTTTTGAACGTTTATCGTCAATGACGCGCCGTATTAAGAATTATATAACGTTAGTATCTTAGCGGCTTGTAACGCGTCGTCAGACGGACGTGTCGTCCTAAAGCCATCACGCGAGCTCGTGCGCGTTTTATTTGTCGTACCGTTATGATCAACGTGTAACTGAACTCACGAAATGCTCTATTCAGACATAACGAGGATGAGTTAGGTTTATATAGATTGAGATAGAGTGATTGGCGTCGCACCTTCTATGCAAGAGAACGTTAAACAGACAACTAGGAAGAATGTGGTTTAAAGTTATAGATCATTCATGATGGAAAGAGATAAAATACACTATTGCAAACGAGAAATTTGATTTTAACATGTAGACGTCATAAGGCTGTATCAGTGAAGTATATGTGAATATATTGCGATCTGCTTGTCTACTTCATGCGTGGTACAGTGTTGCACTGACAGGCACAAAGATGATGTATTCTTCACGGAGAAAACCTGTGCTGTATTTCAAAGATGATAGAAGGTAAACGCTTTAATCATAACATCCATATCAACATGTGATCTCTGTCTCTCTCTCTCTCTCTCTCTCTCTCTCTCTCTCTCTCTCTCTCTCTCTCTCTCTCTCTCTCTCTCTCTCTCTCTCTCTCTCTCTATCTATCTATATATATCTATATATATATATATATATATATATAAATAAACTTGTTCCATTTGCTGAATTGCTGTAATTATTTGGAAATGCTGGTCTGTGGGTTTGTAAAACCCTCTGTGTGTATGAAAAGAAATGTAATCTTCGTTTGCTAGAAGTTGTTTCATGTGTTTCAAAATATAAAGAAGTGAAAGTCAAAGGATGCAGCGTCATGAAGAGGTTCAGTGAGTATAAGTGTGAAGTTAAGTGTGAAGAGGTTTAACCCTGTAAAGCCTGACATTTTAAATCACAATTAGAACAATGTTTATTGAACCTTAAGTCAAAATATATAAGAAAAAAAGTTTGCATATGTTTTATATAGAGTATAATATTTGATGCATAAAGCTTTATGGCTCAAAATGGAGCTCACACTCAAGGAGGAAAATACAACGCATACATTCTATTCAGATGCCCAAGCTGAAATATGATAGCTTGTAATGTAAATCAATGAGATTTTTATGACAGACTACTCACATAAAATGAATATAAATATCAATAGTCACTCTATATCTCCCAGTAATAAGTCTTCGTAAGATATTTAAATTCTTAGTTTTATTGTTAAAGTTCTATCATTTCAATTGTGGGAGACAAAACATATAATGCAATTCAATAAAATGATGATTGAGAGATGAACAAATCAATGTTAATCAAAAGCCTGATGGATCATATTTGATATGCATAATTTCTTAGAAAATTGTTAGTGAATAATCAAGTAAACATAAGTTGCTTCAGTTCAGTAGTGTTCATCTTGCAATATTAATAACTATATAAAAGCTATTCTTATGTTTACTTCTTAAAATTCAATACAATTTCCCCACCAAAAAGACGTGTACCACAACCTGAAGGGAAATGTTTTTACAATTATACTAAAAAGCCATTTACTTGCTAAAAAGGTATGAACTATTAATCAGACGACATAGAACATGTAGTAGATTAGATTCCTAGTCTAGGTTTTTCAGCACAGGTTTTTATCATGTTGCTAATTTAGAGCCCTTAAAGGGATAGTTCACGCAAAAATGAAAATTCTGTCAGTAATTACTCACCCTCATGTTGTTCCAACCCCATAAGAATTTTGTTCATCTTCGGAACACAAATTAAGATATTTTTGATGAGATCTGGCTCAATCCTTCATAAGCTGCTAGGTAATTGCATCTGCCGGCCCAGAAAAGTTAGTAAAGACATTGTTAAAATAGTCCAATAGTCCTTAAGTTAATCTAGCAACGAGAATACTTTGTGCGCAAACCCCCCCCCCCCCCCCCAAAAAAAATAACGACTTTATTCAACTATTCATTTTCTTCTGTGTGGGCCTCTGACGTGAGTTCTCTGAAATTACCAAGCAGCTTATGAAGGAGTGAGACAGCTCTCAGATTTCATCAAAAATATCTTAATTTGTGTTCCGAAGATGAATGAAAGTCTTACAGGGTTGGAACAACATGAGGGTGAGTAATTACTGACAGAATTTTCATTTTTGGGTGAACTACTAACCCTTTAAAAATTCATGTATCAAATATACAGTAGACTTTATGGGCTTAAGTCTGGTTGAGCAAGACAAGTTGTTTAGAGATGCATGGTATTTATTTTCTAGAAAAACTAACCAGACGTATTGATGACTCATCTTGCACTCGATCAAATGCTCTCAAGAATGAGAATGTACCTCCCACTAATACTGCCTGTATTCGCCTGAATTCTAACCTGCACTTTGATTTGTCGCAACACTTACTTCCTGGTTTAAAGGGAAATACGTCAGTTGCTCTCATTAAGCAATGTCATGGGTTATTTAAAGTGCTTTTAGTGTGTCTTGAACGGCATCCGCATAACCAAAAGATGCTGACCGTTGACTTTATGGTTTGCAGGAACTGTTATTATCCTTTTATTGAATGCTTGACATGTGATATATCAGGTTTAATTATTTTTATTTTTCACACAAATGCATTTATTGCTTGCAGTTTTCTGTCGAGGAAATGCACCGTCTGGAAGCTCTTCGGGTTCTGCATGGTGTTTGTTTTGGGGTCCCTTCTTTGGGTGCAGCTGACTTGTTCCGGAGACATGAACCAGACTGTTGGATACAGCCACCTCCCTCATCAGCCCTGTCCCATAGAGAGACAGTCATCCTCTGCTGATGACCCCTCCTGGGGCCCTCACAAAATGGCCCTCATCGTGCCATTCAGAGAGCGCTTTGAAGAGCTGCTAATATTTGTCCCTTACATGCATGCTTTCCTCAACAAAAAGAAAATACGGCATCAAATATTTATTATAAACCAAGTGGATCGCTTTCGGTGAGTAATTTTACTATGTGTCTTAACTTTTTGTGTTTGCTATTGATTCTTTAAAGTGCCCTTATAATGCTTTTTCGGATATTAGCTTTCATGTAGTGTTTAAATAGCTGTTTGTGAATGTAAAATGTCTGCAAAGTTTCAATGATCAAAGTGCAGATAAATTAGTTATTGTCTCCCCCAAAAAAGAACTGCTGAAACGAGTCGTCAGTAACTCCAGTCTTACTTCATTCTTGAACGGTCGCAAGTTTGTAACAAATTTGAATAATGCCAGCCTATAGTCTACATTGGCTGCCCACGAACAGCATCTACTTTGACCCTCAAACACTGTAGTTGTAGCTGAGGCCTGGAAGAGTTTGGTTCATGTTGTCGACATGTCGAGAAGCCTCTGTTCTGCACTGCGAAAGCAAATCCTCTTTCCAGGCACTTCCAACGGATATGGACTCTGGCTTGAATTGATATGGTAAGACCAATCAGAGCAGAGTAGACCAATCACAGCTGATCAGGCCATCTGACCAATCAGAGCAGAGCAGACCAATCATAGCGGATCAGGCCATCTGACCAATCAGAGCAGAGTAGACCAATCATAGCGGATCAGGCCATCTGACCAATCAGAGCAGAGTAGACCAATCACAACTGATCGGGGGTCTGACCAATCAGAGCAGAGTAGACCAATCACAACAAATCTGACCAATCAGAGCAGAGAAGACCAATCACAACAGACCGGGACGTCTGACCAATCAAAGCAGAGAAGACCAATCACAACAGATCCGGCCGTCTGACCAATCCGAGCAGAGTAGTCAATCACAACAGATCCGGCCGTCTGACCAATCAGAGCAGAGCAGAGTAGATCAATCACAACAGACTGGGTTATCTGACCAATCAGAGCAGAGTAGATCAATCACAACAGACTGGGTCATCTGACCAATCAGAGCAGAGTAGATCAGTCACATCAGGGCTGCGTTCAGCCCCGACAAAACGTTGCACAACGTTTCTTAAACAGAAACGGTGATGCGTTGAACACACTGTTCTGATGACGCAAGAGTTGCAACTATGGCAGCTGAGAAGGCCATTCTTTGTGTTCTTTGTGAAGAATTTTCGGAACCTGATGAAGTCGGTATAAATATGTGTTTAATACTACAAAATATGCCCGATGTTACAGTTACTGCACTTGCCGCCCGGAACACAAGAGAACATCCCAATCGAGTGAAGGGATTTGTGGAAACTGAAATGGAAGCACACATCTTACCTAATTCAGACTAAAGCACATCTATTTAGCCTCACATACTGACTTTATTTGTAGTTCATACTGTTTTAATACCCTGTATTTTTTTCTCATTTTTAGGAAAAGCACTTAATTACCATTGTTTGTCATACACTTGCAATGAAGCTAAAAATAAACAACTACATCATTATGTTGATATCCTATATTTTTACAATAAAACTTACGACAAACATGTCTTCTAATATCCTCAGTTGTTGCGTATACCGAGCTGCATCAAACACTTTTGTAAATTAATAAAAACACATTGTGCGAGTTCACTTTAATACCGCTTGCTTTATATACATGTTGCTGCTGATTGGACTGCAGTTCTGACACACCCACCAAACAAGAGAAAACTCATCTCAAACCCCGTTGCACACCGGTGCACGCCGTTTCCAGGAAACATGACCTTCAACCCGGAAACCGTAGCAAAACGTTGCGCACCGTTTTGAACTTGAACGTGCCCCTGATCCGGCCATCTGACCAATCAGAGCAGAGTAGATCAGTCACAACAGACTGGGGCATCTGACCAATCAGAGCAGAGTAGATCAGTCACAACAGACTGGGGCATCTGACCAATCAGAGCAGAGTAGACCAATCACAACATATCCGGCCATCTGACCAATCAGAGCAGAGTAGGCTTTTGGAAAGGAGGGGTTTAGAGAAACTGAATCCTTTATCAAATGGTTTCAGACACTGTGAGAAAATTTATATTATTAGAAAATTAAAGTGTTGTTTTGACCTTATGGCGCTTTTCCATTACCAGTACCAGCTCGACTCGACTCGGCTCGCTTTTCGCTCCGTTTTCCATTGCAGAAAGTACCGGCACAAATAGTACCCGGTCGTCATAGCGACGCCTTTTGTTCCTCGTTGCCCCATCAAGCTCTCGCTGGATCCTCTCTTCGGCAACCAAACAAAGGAATGTCTGCACCTCCTCGTTTGACCACGGCGTATTTTTCAGAGTTGCCATAATAATAGTAGTAAGTTTAGTAACTATCTCTGGCCAAACTATTTAAAAATGGCGGGGTTATTCGGGATACTCCATCTGGCGCGTGCAATGATGACGCAGATTCTCTGTGACCAATCAGCAGTCGGCATTGTTTTCACGTCACATTTTAGTATCGCCTTAGCTCGCCTCAGCTCGCTTAGAACCTCGCAAGAGGTGGTACGAAAAAAAGTACCCGAAAGCAGGTACAGGTACAACTTTTACACAGTGGAAAACCAAACAAAGGCGAGTCGAGCCGAGGCGAGCTGGTACTGTGTAGTGGAAAAGCGCCATTAGATGCATCTAAACCTATAAGAGACACAATTTAAAGGTATAGTTCACCCAAAAATGAAAATTACCCCATGATTTACCCTCAAGCCATCCTAGGTGTACATGACTTTCAGACGAATACAATCGGAGTTATATAAAAAGGTGTCCTGGCTCTTCCAAGCTTTAAAATTGGAGTGAATGGCCGTTTCTGTTTTGAAATCCATCAAAGTGCATCTATCCATGATAAAAGTAATCGATGTGTACGGCCGTCTGCCGGAAGCTAGTTATTTTAGTCGATAAAGTTTTAAATATGGATATTTTACACTAACGCATCGCTTCACTTCAGAAGGCCCCCCAGAGCCGTGTGAAGCACTTTTATGATGGATAGATGCATTTTTATGGACTTCAAAACATAAAACGGCCATTCACTGCCATTATAAAGCTTGGAAGAGCCAGGGCATTTTTTAATATAACTCTGATTGTATTCGTCTCAAAGAAGAATGTCATGTACACTTAGGATGACTTGAGGGTGAGTAAATCATGGGGTAATTATTTATTTTTGGGTGAACTATACCTTTAATAACCTTTAAAATAGCATATTAGGGACACTTGAATCATTGCAGGAATAAATATATTATTTTTGCTGAAGGCAATATCCATTACCACGAGTGTTATGGAGTAAAACAATTTGGATTTTGACTCTCATTTTTGTTAGGTTCAATCGTGCCTCTCTTATTAATGTTGGCTACATGGAAAGTGGTAATGACACGGACTACATTGCAATGCACGATGTGGACTTGTTGCCCCAAAATGAGGATCTGGATTATGGATTCCCAGAGGAGGGGCCCTTCCATGTGGCCTCACCAGAGCTCCATCCCTTATATCATTATAAGACGTATGTGGGAGGGATCCTGCTGCTTACCAAGAAACATTATCAAATGGTTAGAAACCTGAATACGTTTGTACACTCAGTACTGGTTCCAGGACTACAGAATTTCATTGCAAATTACAAATGCTTGTGATTTTTAAATTTTTTTTTTCCTATAGTGCAATGGGATGTCAAATCGCTTTTGGGGATGGGGAAGAGAAGATGACGAGTTTTTCAGAAGACTAAAAACGGCTAAACTCGAGGTACAAAAGAACTGAACAATTTTACACTATTTATTCCTACGCACCTGCTTATAGGATTTATAAGGAGTTGATGCGTTTCATTTTATTAAGTTATTAAGTTATTTAATCGTGACAATTCAAATCTCTGCAGCTTTTTAGGCCAACGGGTATTACTACAGGAACTAAAACATTTAGACACATCCATGATCCAGCCTGGAGGAAGAGAGACCAGAAGCGGATCGCTGCACAAAAGCAGGTAGAAATAATTCTTTTTAAAAAGCACCTCAGACCTCAGCGCTCAGTACCTGCTCAGAAGTAGTCTCTCAAGTCTATCAAAAATACAGTAAAAACAGTAATACTATGAAATATTAATATAATTTATTCATGTTATGGCAAAGCTGAATTTTCAGCATCATTACTCCAGTCTTCAGTGTCACATGATCCCTCAGAAATCATTCTAATATGCTGATTTGATGTTCAAGAAACATTTTTATTATCAATGTTGAAAATTTTGTCTGGACTCTTTGATGAATAGAAAGTTCAAAAGAACAGCATTTATTTGAAATATAAATCTTTTGTAACATTATAAATGTCTTGACGGTCACTTTTGATAAATGTATTGCATTCTTGCAAAAACAAAACAAAAAGTTCTGGTCTTAAGGTTTTGAGTGGTAGCATACCTTAAATGGATTGCAATGGATTAACACTATGGTATGATTATGTATTAATCAAATCTTAAATTTGATTAATTTCACTCACATTGCCAATATTTAAATTGGTATAAAGATGTGGATTATTTAATAAGCTGTATTCATAAAATATCTTGCATAACCATGTACAACATTTGAACATATTTGGCTGAATTTATATTTATAATGATCTTAAACATTTTGATCAAATACAAATATAATTGAATCTATAAATATATTAGATCAAATATAATATTGTTTTGAGAATTTTTGGTCACTACATAATTCCCTTGATTCAGTTTGTGTTATTTTATTATTATTGTAAGGTGTGGAAAGGCACTACTAATAAAGACTAGGTATGTCGACACAGCTTAACTTGTACAAACATATACACTTCCAGTCTTTCTAAAATGAAACGAAGTTTGTCAGATGTTTTCTGATCAGTAGTTGTTTATGTCGTGACATCATTGTCATGATGCAGCCTCTTGTCCCAATGTTTGGATTGATATTGGTCTGCTTTCGACAGGAGCAGTTTAAGGTGGACCCCGAGGGTGGCCTCACCAACCTCGGCTACAAGGTGGAGTCCAGAAAAGAAGTGACCATCGGTGGAGCTCCATGTACTGTCATCAGCATCGTTCTAGAGTGTGACCTCAGCCAGACCCCATGGTGCCAGCCCAGCTAAAGTGCTTGAGCAGGACCTGTAACTCCAGAATGATACGCATTCTGGTGGCAAGAAAGCTTTCACAGATTATCAGTGCCAGTCACTCTGTGATCGCCTAACCAAAAGGAACTGAATATGTGATGGTGGGGAAAGAACTTTTCTCTGAGGATTTATTTTTATAGGACAGTGTTGTTGACTTCATCCATGATGAAGTGCTGCCTCATTTTTTAATTGATCTATGGACCAATGTCAGGTACTACACTGAGTTTGCATCATCAACTTTGCAAATACGAGCATCCAAATGTCCGATTTTTTAACGAGTTTTATAATATTTTAGTTGTAGCGGTGGACTGTTTCTCTTAGTGCAATTGTGAGTATTTGCTCAGCCCTGTCTTGACAAAATTGTTTCTTTTTTGCTTGAAGTCAAAATCATGTCTTGAAAAGGACAATATTATATATACATGAAATGGGTTTAAGGGTACTTTGATTGTATTTGCACAATATTCAGTATTTATATAAAAAAACAAATGTTTCCTAATTTCGAGTCTTTTTACTTTTCCCCTGTTTCAGAACGCATGGAATGCTGTTACAACGTACACTCACAGGATTATGTAGAGACACAATGACCTGGAGGCATGAAGCTATATCCAAAAAAACAAACAGCTTTCGGTGCAAATGTTAATAAAATTCAGACACCACATACTTGTTTTCATTAGCAATGCCTGAACATAAACTGTGACCTGAGTACTCTGTCCAGACTAAGATGCATTATTGTGCCTGTGGCAACAAACTGCTACACAACTGCACAGAACATGTGTGCCAAAAAAAATAAAGAAAATATGTCTCAACGATTACTTTGTTTAGTACCCTGTTTTTTTAAAAAGACAATCACCAACAGAGCAATAATACTAGTTTGAGTGTGGAAAGAGAATTAGTAATTCCTGCCCCCATTTATTCGTATATTCTTTAACAATCTTAATCAGCATTCTATCCCTTGTATTTGGAGATGTTTCAAGAAAAAATCAAATTGATTTCAAGTTTGTGTACAAGCCATTAGTGCATCCTGTCTAGCTCCACAACATTATTCAGTTAATGAAGTTTGCTGTGCTGTGTTTTCATGAACTGTTGCTTAATTTTATCTTCAGCAAATGAATGGCTATTTATAGTCATTTTAATGGGTTGTTAAGATGGGTTTTGTTGACCTAAAGTGTCAAAGGTTTGGACACACTTATTGGAATTTGTTTCTTGTTAGCTTACATGCCTTCAAAATGTTGAAATATTTTAAGTATACTAGTTAAATCTATTTTTTGACCAGAGAGAGAAAAATGTGTAAAGAGGAGAAGAGCTGGAGTCAAAGGGATGTGAATAAGGCCTCGTTTACACTGTCAGTGAAATGTGACCCAATTCCAACGACACAGATCGGATGTGTTCTATGACAGTGTAAACAGGGAAAAAACGCATCGTCGCTGTCGGGCGGAAACCTCGTATGTCCAAATTTGGTCAATTTAATATTTTTTCACAAATCGATGCTATTGGTCAGTCTCCACGTGGGTCTGTTATTTTTACAAATTATTAACCAATCGAAAGTGTTGAAAATAGCTTGTGAGCAAACCTCTTAACTCCATTGGACACTTCAACTGTCTGAGAAACCTCGTAACTCCACCCCTTCTTCACTTGGCGCCGCCGCGCTGGAGCTTCGCGGCATTTTTTCTCCTCAAGATTGGAAGTCGCAATCCTCGTTGAGCAACACGTCCTCTGAGGTAAATGTCCTTATTCATGATTTAGTTATATAAATTATATAATAATAACAGTTTATATATTATATATAACAGTTTTATCTCGATCGAAGTAATGGTAGTGCTAGTTTAGTGTAATGTATCATTTCTGAGGATGCTAGATTTTTCTTTCTGCTATGTCTTGCATTGGACGGTAAGTTAGCTAAGTTAACTTATCATGTTGATTGAAATCTTCCATGGTTTTGTTTCTGACGAGGACATTTTATTTAAACCGCAAAAATTGCCTGTCGTTGACTTAGTTAGCCGCTATGTAACGTTATTGGTTTTGTCATCATGTTAGGTGAGATAGGTACGTAGACTAACCATGTTCCGTACAACACAGGGTCCCCGCGGGTCCTTAAAAAGTCTTAAAAGGTCTTAAATAACATTTTCGCTTTTTAAGGTCTGAAAATGTCTTAAAATCTGCAATTTCCAATAAGGAGGTCTTAAATTTCACGTACGGACCTTAAATTTCTTGTAGGAGACAACAACACATTACAGACGGTGTTTACGACCGTTCATGCTTACGGTCGGGTTGCCAGATTTAAATAATTAAATCCCCAGTCAGAGCTTTTCTGTTAAAATAACACGCTTTCTACCCGGTCTTGTCAATAGTATCTGGCAACCATGCTCGCGCGCGCTCTCTACACTGCTGAAGAAGCGCGGATGATCTGAAAACACTGATAAGTAAGCTGGAGTTCAGTGATCTTCATTTGAGATTTTCTACTTACATTAATTAAAGTGTCATTCAGTTGGTCTTTATTCTGTCACGAGCCGCTTGCGCTGTTTGTGTGACTAAATCTGCGATCAATACAGGCTGATATCCAGCAGTGTTTTTAATGTTGATCATATTATTGCATATTATTGTTATTTTGCAACAAAAGCCACGGCTGCAGACAGTGGTGATTCGAGAACGAATCTGTGGCTTTGAACGAATCGTGAGATTCAATGACCCGTTCATAAATACAGCCACTTGCTTTGTTACCATAGACTGTTGTGTTTGATACTGAATGAATGAATGACTCGATGACGGATGACTCACTCATAAAGACAGTGACTTACCGCCACCTACTGGCGATTTTAATTTAATGTTAAAAAGTATCACCTCGTTTTTACCATCATTGCATATTTATTGAACATTGTTTTATTTAAAGCATTATTTCTTTTATAAAAGTATTTATAAAGGTAAAAAATTAACTGGAAAAAATCGATTAAAAGGGGCAGATATTGTCCCTTAATGGAAAAGGTGTGACTGCAGTCTAAGTGCAAGAGCGCCACGGCTGGTGGCGGGTTGACTAGCTTTCGTGAGGCACACTCGCAAGGTCTCTCTTGCTCTCTCTCTCTCAGCCGTGCTCGCGCTATGTATGTTATGCGCGCAGTATGTTCTGTCTCGCATGCGCGCTCTAGATTCCGGCAGATCTGAACTAATTTGCGGGCATCAGGGAGACGCAGGAGACTCCCGGGAGACTTGGGATGTCTGCAATGGCCACAGACAATTTGAGGAAGTGGTGGGGGAAGTGACGTATGCCGTAAAGCAGTCGAATTTTGTAGTTCTTTTTGTGCACGGGTTCCTACCCGAAACCCGAAGTTACATAGTGCCAGTAAAAGCGATACAGACCACGTCAGGCTATGGCAGACGTGTCATTTAACTTATTTTAAGTCGATGTACCATCACAAGGGTCTTGGAAATATATTATGAAGGTTGAAAAACTACATAGTGTTACTTTAAGACTAAAACAAAAACGGCTGCCAAAATTAACACTGTCGTGTCGTGCTGAACATTTTCCTGTTTTTTTTTTGTCGTGGTAAAGTCTTAAATTTGCCTTTTAGAGGACTTAAAAAGGTCTTAAAAGTCATTAAATTTGCTGTTAAAAAATGTGCAGATACCCTGCAACAACGATGTTCCGTACAGATTAACTTTAACCGCCGATCGCTGAATAAATACCTCTAGGTCATACACAAAATACATATCTGTGTCGTCTTCATTTCTCCCTCTTTCATCCCCGATCAAAACAGAGACACTCCAGCTGTATGTTCCAGTGATATTTCAGTTAGTTTGCCAGGTGCGCCCACTTCGCTTTAAAATTGCCCGTGGGCAAGCTATACTTCAGACAGCGGCTTGGGTGGGGAGACAACTAGAGCAACGAAAATGTACATTTCAATTTCATTTATGCTTTTCCCAGTATAACAGTCTTTATTAAATGAATATTATGCTATCACAAATTGTTAAATATATTACCCTTTTGTTGACTAAATGCTGTGAAATGGGGATTTTTAAACGATTGCGGCCGATGACCGTTTGGCGCCACTCTCAGGCAGCAAAAAAGGCTGCACGTCTGTCAGCAGTGCAGTGATGATGTTTATATTCATAAAGGGTCAATTAAGTTAATATTAACATAAATTGTTACATGATTAAATATTTTAACATTAAAATTAATCAGTTGACCGGTTAATTTTCCATTTCGCCGTTGAAAATAAGTTATTCGCTCTGTACGGAACACCATTATAAGCCTGTACGGAACATCGTTAACGCTTATCATCTTCCGTACACAGGTGGAGGAGGTAGTTTTCCCCACTTTTCTCAAAAACTATTGGTCCAAAAGACATCAATCAAAGTGTGGACCAATCAATGGGTATTCCCCCGGAGAATGATCACACAAACATGCTAGTCTTGCTCTCAGAAACGGAGGAGTGGTCGCTGACGTGCGGTGATAGGCTAAAAGTGTACGGAACATGGTTAGTCTACGTGTAGCTAACGTGATTTTCGTGGGGCTTAAATAAAAACCTCTCGACCCCCGCTAACGCTAGTTCTGGCACTCATCTGAGGAACAACATAATAATTTAATGTACTATGTCAGTATTGTAGCTTACAATGTCAAGGCATTCCGTCATGTTCAACAAGTAGCTACCTTTTACGTCATGTTCATCACTTTAAGCAAGCTAGCTGGCTTCTTGCCTTGTTATCATACGTAAACATGTCGTATATCTTAGTGAAACGATCATTTGACCTTTATTTATTTTATTTTTTGCAGCAACCATGTCTGTGTCCTTAAAGGAACTCTGTCAGATGGTCAATGTGCCATATGATCAGGCAAGGGCCCTATTAGACAGTGAGAGCTCTGATGGAGAGAGTGTAACGTTAGAGAGAGAGGAAGCAACAGTGGTGGAGGATACAGTGGTGGAGGATACAGTGGTGCATGCTGGTAGAGTGAATTTCTGAGAGATAATCATGATTTCACATGCCAAAATGAATGAGTTTTAATGCAGATGTATTTCACAACAATAGAAATAATAAAAAAATCACACTATTTGTATGATGTGTTTGAAAAGATTTCTCTGGTGGTCTGGAGGAAGAGGAGGCCTCACTGCTGGCTCCAGAGCAGGTGCAGTTTGACACGGGTAAGTTTGATGCTTTTCTACATTTTCTCATTAAATTGGATAAGGTCCTTCAACTATAGCCCTCACTGTTGACAGTTTATAAAGATGTAACTCATTCATGCACGTTTGGTTTGTGTGTGTATTTTGAAGTTTTCCATGGTGGAGGCGATGAGGACTCGGATGCAGAGCATTCATGCTCAGATGCTGAGGAAGACGCACCTCCAAGGAAAAGACTGAGAGCTGAGAACACCTGGAAGAAAGTCATCAACAAGAAAAGAAGAATGGTTGGAAAGTCATACATTGGAAAACAGAAGCAGAAGGAAACAATGAGGGAGCCACGGGCTATGGGGCCTAGATGTTCATCAGCAGCATGTGCCAGGTCAGGTAAACATCACTGCAGTGCAATCGGCGAGCCTGAGAGGAATACGATTTTCAATGACTTTTGGCAACATGTGACCTGGGAGGAGAAGAGAGTGTATGTGCGTGGTCTAATTGATGTGGTCCCCGTGCAAAGGAGAAGGGGGGCTGAAAATTCCCGAAGATCAAATTCGCTGTTGTTTTTTTTACGGGTCAGCGGGCAGAGAAGACGCGTCTGCAAAAGTATGTTTTTGTCTACCCTAGGAATAGGCGAGTGGTCTGCTCTTAACTGGGCAAAGGAGGGACACACGCAAGCAGAGACAGAGGGACAAACACACA